GTGAGCCCGGCGTGGGCGGGGCACGAGGCGGAGCGGCGGAAAGGGGCGGGGCGGAAAGGGACGCCGCGACGCCACAGGTCACCCTGGCCGGCTGGGAGTCTGTGCTCCCGCTCTTTTTAGGGCTGTTTGAGAAGTTCAGTGTGAAAATATTCACCGAGGACAGGGCAGCGGGAAAGATGGCGTGGGACTGGTGTCTCGGCGGTCCCTCCCATTTTATCACTCCTTAATTTGCCTTTTACTGAGCGCCTCAGGAGAACCTGGGCCCCAAAGTCAAGCACTGGACACCTACCTGCCCAGTCTAGGCTCAGATTTTTCTTACTGCCTCAGCCTCCCAGATTAGTAGGACTACAGGCGTGCGACACCACCCCAGTCTCAAAGGACTCTTTGGAATACGTGGTATGTGACTAGGGAGACTGAGAAACTGGATTTTTAATGTAATAGTTAATAGCCGGGGCTGGGGATATAGCTCAGTAATACAGTGCTTGCCTAGCCTGTGTCAGGTCCTGGATTCAATCCCCAACACCACACACACACACGCACGATAATAGTAATTATTATTATTATTATTATTATTATTAATTATTATAAAAGTTAAATAGCTACATTATGACTAGAGGCTATTCTGTTGGACAGTATAAAGACACAAATTGCTGTCTTTCTTTACTGCTTCATCAGTGTCCCCTTTCACCCCAGAGTTCTCCCACAGTAAAGAATTTAATGAAAAGCAACGTTTCTGTGAAAACTCGAAATCTGGGACCAAAAAAATGGAATATGGGTCTTTTAACTCCAATTTATTTCTAAGCACAGGGCTATAGCGATGAAGTAGTCATGCAAGCTCCTAAGAAACATTTAGTGAGTGAATCATACAAAATATACAGGATGTATTATTACCAAAAAGTTTTAAATAAATAAAAAATAGGATTTAATATGGGGGATGTTCTGAGCTCACAGAGATAGAAAAGTAGGAAGCAGGGTCAGACACTGAAGAGTGAATCCTTGAGGGCTGAAACAGTGGTGACAGCAGCAGTAGCAGCACAGGTTGGATGTGGGGACTTAGGCCTAGGTCCAAAGGTGAAGAGATGTGGACAGTTCCTGTGAGCTAGGAAATAAGGGCACAGGGCTGAGAGGTTGCCCTGGATTGGGAAAGCTAGATAAGCAGTGGATTGGAAAAGCCTTTGTCCTCCTGCCAATCCCGCCAAGGACACATGGGAGCCAAGGAAGTCTGTGAAAGTGGAGATTAGCAAAAGCAAACATGTGGTGGGCAAGCCAGCCTGTGGGGGTGGAAGAGCTGGTAGCAGGCAAGCCAGGTTCAGGCTTATGAAATCTGCCAGATAGGAGACTAGGGAAGCAGTAATAGTGTCAGCCTCAAATTTTCAAAAATAAGATGTTATTTGAAGCATATCACCCTACCTGTACTCCAACGCAGATACGTTACAGGGCACTTTTTTTAAAAATTGAAGTATATAACTTATAGGAAATGGGCAAATCTTAAATGTTCAGTCTATAATGAGTTTTTACATTCACTTCAGAATGTGTGGTTGTCACCCAAATCAAAATTCCAGAGATTAGCTCATGTCAGTATGTCTTTCCCTCACATCTCTCCTCTAATAGTTGCTACCTGACCAGATCACAGAAGGGGATTTGTCTATTCTTGAATTTCATATAAATAGAATCTATGGTATGCACACTTTTCTGGCTCCTTTCATTCAACGTAGTGTAAATGAGATTTATCTGTGGTGTTGAATTAGTAGTCCATTCTTTCCTATTCATTTTTGCTATGTTGCAATAATTATATGACTATACCACAAACTATTCATTTGATGGGCTCTTGTGTTGTTTCCAATTTTTAGTAATTATAAATAAAGCTGCTGGGCATGGTGGCACAGGCTTGTAATTACTGCACTCAGAAGGCTGAGGCAGGTGGATTGCTATGAGTTCAAGGCCAGCCTGAAGTATTTAGTGAGACCCTGTCTCAAAACACAAAAATAAATACATAAAGCTGCTATGAACATTTGTATGCCTGTGGTGGATAAGTGCTCTTAGTTCTCTGGGGCAAATACTTAGAACTGGAACTGTCATAGGGTAGTGTGTCTTTAGCTTTAGTAGATACTGCTAAGCAGTTTTATGGAATGTTTTCATCACTTTCCACTGTTGCCAGTGATATTTGAAAATTCTAAGTGTAGGACCAGGGATTTAGCTCAGTGGTGCCATGCCTGCCTCTCAAGTGCAAGGTCCTGAGTTCAATCACCTGTACCCCCAAAAAATTCTAAGCGTTGTATAGCTTTGATATTTTCAGTCTTTTAAATTTCAGCCATTCTGATGGGTACACAATGAAATATAACATAATTTTAACCCAATATATCTGAAACCTGAGGCTTATCTACTGTTACAGCTTGTGCCTAGATCTCTCCCCAAAGCCTCATATGGTCATAGGTGGGGCTTTTTTCACAGATGGCTGGATCTAGAACGTGTGATGCTAAATTAGTCCACTGGTTGGTTTGACATAATGCTGAGTATGGATAATGAGAAGGCCCACCCTGGGTGTGAGTGCTACCTGCCCCCAGGGTGTGCACCCTGGATGGATTATAAGGGACAGAAAGAGGGCTGCTGCCATCATTTGCTGCTCTATGCTTGCTACTTTGCTGCTTTCCTGCCTTCCATCTGCCATGAACTATTTTTCCTTTGTGATGCCCCTCTGCCATGCCACCCTGGCTTGGAGCCAGCCAACTATGAACTGAAACATCTACAAACTGTGAGCCACAATAAACCTTTTCACCTTTACCTTTGGGTACTGGGTATTTTGTCTCAGCAATGAGAAAAATAAGACATCTGCTGACCTGTATGCAAGATGAAAGTTACTGATACACAAGAAAATTGAGGGCCAGGGATTTAGCTCAGTGGCATTGTGCCTGCCTCACAAGTGCAAGGTCCTGAGTTTGATCCCCAGTATAAAAAAAAAAAAAAAAGATTGAATCTTGGCATTTTGCCTCAGTTGCTTGTTGAGACAGGACCAGGACTAGGGCACAGTAGCAGTCCAACTGGATTGCCGCTTGTGAACTGTATTAAAAGACTGCTCTGGGCCTGAGTTCCCACATTCTTCAATGAGAGAGTTTTTCCCCTCCAATGTTTTTTTGGTACTGGGGATTGAACTTGGCTCCTTGTGCTTGCAAGGCAGGCCCTGGAACCACTGAGCTAAATCCCCAGCCCTCCCCTCCAATGTTCTTATCAGCCATTTCCAAGTTTTCCTGCCAAAAAAAGGCCCTGCCTCTCTGGAGGGGAATTCGATAAGAAAAACAATTGAGACTGGGCTCAGTGGCATGTGCACGTAACCCTGGCACTCTGAGAGGCTGAGGCAGGAGGATTGCAAGCCCAACATGAACAATTTAAAGAGATTATGTCTCAAAATAAGAAATAAAAATGTTCAATTCCCAGTACCAGAAAAACAAACAAACAAATAAAGCTGGGGCTGTAATTTAGTGTGAAGGCTCTGGGTTTAATCCCTGGCCTGGGTTGGGTGGGAAGACAGGTGGCAACACCAAGTGGAAGTGTAGGGCTGAGGGTTTTGCAGTGAGGCTACAGTAAGTACTGTCTTTGTGCCTGGCCCTTCCGGATGCAGCCTTCCCAAGCCCATTCAGCCTAGGGCCATCTCGCTACCCTCCACAATCAGTCATCACTACCACAGGAAGTGTTTGCTGCTTACTTGCCCCCGCTGAGGCCAGTACCAATGCCAAAGCCTAGTTTCCTGCCATTGACCAATGATCATACATGTCCTTGTCTTTGACCTTTACACAGAATCCTCTATTCCTGGAAGAGGTTTTTTGTTTGTTTGTTTGTTTTTTTAATGAGTTGTTGAATCTGGCTGTTTCACACCTCATAGATGCATGGACCACCCAGCCAATTATCCATAACAAAATCAGGCTCCTCTTTCTAGACAGCGCAGAGCTGAAGGTGGGGAAAGAAACGAACTGGATCAGCACAGGCCTCTAATGGAAGCCTGCACAGTCGGACCGTGTACCTATAGCCTCCTAACTGCATGGGAAGCATGGATGTTGCAGCCATGCTCCACTAGAAAAAACTTCCTTCCATCTGTCATCCAAGGTGCAGAGGAATGTGCAAAGATGTTCTGCCGCAGGACCAGGCTCCTTCCGTGACAGCTGCCTTGCCTAGGAGGAGCAGGCTTTCTGCTGTATTCACCGAAACCCACCTGCGGATTCCTGGTTCTCTGGTTGCCCAGTGCAGACAGTGGGTAAGTGTGCTGCCTTTGTTTAAAAATAGCAGAGTGGAGGGGTGATATGCAAAAAATGTGTGCATTTGTTTACATGCCACAAGGTATGGCTGGAAGCAGAGGCAAGAAAGCAAAATCATCTGTTTCTGGGGGTAAGGAGGGAGAGATAGAGTGACTGGAAGACCAGGGTAGAAGGAAAATTTTTCACTACAACAAGGGTCTTCCCCCTGATTTTCTTTATCCCTAGTTTGTTTGTTTGTTTGTTTGAGACAGGGTCTCACTATGTAGTTGAGACTGACCTGGAACTCACTGTGTAGCCCAGGCTGGTCTCAAATTCACAGCAATACTCCTGCCTCAGCTTCCCAAGTGCTGGGATTACAGGCTTCCACCACCACGCCCAGCTTTCCCAAGTTTCTGAATAGGCATTACTGTCACAAGACTCAAAAAATTTGTGTAAAAGTACAATTGCAGTTCTGCAATATGGAACAATAAAAACAGAATAATATTTATCCTGATCAGCTTAGTGATTTCCTTTTTGGGGATTTTACTCTGAGAAAATAATTCTAAGGAAGAAAGTTATGTAGGTGTGTATGATGAAACCACACAAGGAAAGTGACCCCAAAATTACAATATAATTGATATAGAGTGTGTGCTGTGTTTACCTCCAAATAATCCAAATAAGGGAAATAATCCAACTAAGGGGAAATATAACTCCCAACCTGCTAGATATCCAAAATGCCAAGTTCATCTTCTCTAAAATCAAAGAATAAATTCTAGGAACAACTGGCGGTTAAAGGTAGGAAGAATTTATTGAATAAATGTTTTGTTTTGTTTTTGGTACCCGGGATTTAACTCAGGACCTTGTGCTTGCAAGGCAGGCAGTGGAACCACTGAGCTAAATCCTCCGCCCCAGGGAGAATTTATTGAGAGAAATAACTTCTAAGAGAAACAGAAGGGGAACCAGAAAGTGGGTTATCCACCCAGTTTGCTTCTCCAACGTGTTTTATTGAGCAAAGCCATGAGGTGAGCCAAGGTGGGACAAAACTACAGTCAACTAATATGATTACAAGTGTTGTTGCTTAGGTAATATTGATCCAATGGGAAATCAGGAGGTGGGACAAAACTATGATCAACCAATAAGATTACAACAAATATAGTCACTTAGGTATTAATGATTAAATGGGGATCAAATGGGGAAGCAAGTTATGTAGCAAACCTAGGTGGAAGGAATAAGGTTCCCCCAAGGAATGGGCTATGGAGGTTTGAGTCCCCAATTAAAGTGATTGATATCTATTTAGAATATCAAACTCTCCTATTCATCCTTAGGGAAAGTATGTGGGTGTAGTAGTTCTTCCTTTTTTTTTTTTTTTTTTTTTGGTTTTTATAGACAGGGTCTCACTATATAGTTGAGACTAACCTGGAACTCACTTTGTAGTCCATGCTGGTCTCGAACTCATAGCGATCCTCCTGCCTCAGCCTCCCGAGTGCTGGGATTACAGCCGTGAGCTACCATGCCCAGCTAGTTCTTCCTTTTTGAATCCTGACCTTTTAATAAATGTGTCTCAATTGTTTTCTGTGCTGAGTGCCTTGACTTGCCTAACTGCTTTATAATATTTACTAACAAGCTTAGCTGTCTATAATATTATGACTTAATGGAAAACTATAGAGCTGTGGCAAATGATGAATTAGAAACTAGCAATAATAAAAAAAAGAAACTAGCAATATTGAAAATGATTTTTAAAATACAAAAAAACTGGTATGTTGGTGCACGCCTGTAATCCCAGCACTCAGGAGGCTGAGGCAGGAAGATCACTTCGAGTTCAAGGCCAGCATGAGCTACATAATAAGACCCTGTCTCGAAAAAAAAAAAAAAAAAAAATCAGACAAACAAAAACAAAGACAGGAACCCTATCTCAGAAAAAAAAAAAGAGCTACTACAACATTGTGAGATACTGAGAGGTAACTTGGATTTTGTTGTTTTGGGTTTTTTCCTTTACAATACTTCAGCCTTCCCAATTCACAGAGCTAATAAAGGGTAGCTGTTGCTTTCCAAGAGTTATAATGATGCCACCAGAGATATCAAATTCTTTTTAAGCCCACCTGCATGTGTAAAACAGGAAATATTGGGAATGTATACTGGAATGCATATTAAATACAAACTTGCCAAGCAGAGGAGGGAGAAGAAAGTTCAATGAACAGTAGATTTCCCCAGCAAAGGAACCTGGTTCTCTTCTCCCTCCCCTTAAGTGTGTCTGAAAGCTGGTGTAAGGAAAGATGGCTTCTAGGCAGGGAAAAGATAGGCTTTATTAAAAATTAATGGGAAATCTGACCAAAAGCAGCTTCTGCCTCTATAGGTAGACTCCATAGTTAATTGCAATAAAAAGGACAAAAGAGAAACCACACCCAGAGAGGTGCTAGGTAACACAATTACCATAAGAATTTACCAGAGTTAACAAAACGAGGAGGAAGCTAGAAACCTAAAAGACCTGGGAAACCAGCGCCCCCCCCCCAACCTCAGATAAAATGCAAAGGCGTTAAGGGGCAGCCACCTCAGGATTCTTATTTAATAAATAAAAGACACACTCACCTATACATACATCCTGATAGCATCACTGCTGTCAGATATACAAGTCCCCTTTACTTAATCACTAACTCTAAGTTACCTTTGAGCAAGCCCCCCCCCCACTTATCTATCCCAAAGGGGTGGGAAGAAATCAAAGGACCAGAAAGAAGGCAGACAGAGGTGCCCAAGGTTAACATCAAAGACGCGTGATGGAGACCACCCTGAGCGAGCTGCACATTCATAGATTGGTTTTTCATATTCAGAGTCTGATTGTGCGTGTTAGCCCACAGTGATTGCCTGAAGAGCCAGCCGTTGGTGCGTGGGAAAGGAACAATTCCCCACATCACTGGTAACAGCAGAGGTCTCAGTGATCCGTGACGCTGTGATGTCCTGGATGGCAAGACAATAGTGCAGCTGAGGGCAGCACGACTCCTACGCAAAACTCCTACAGAGGCAGAAATTCATCTCGAGAAAAAACAAATTTCCCCTTAATTAATGATTTGTTCCTACTAGAATGTCTCATTCCCTTGTTGCTAGGACCCTGCTTGCGTCAGAGCTCTCCACTCCACTGTTCCCTTCACCGCCCTCTGCCCCTCCGAGAAGCTGTGTGTTCAATAAATAGTGGCAGACTCCAGGAGACAGTGTCTTAGCCTGATAAGCGCTCTGACCGTCCAGGACCACCCTCCTCCCGTTTATGCAGTAAAGATCTTGTTGTTTGTTATCCTATCACCCTTACCCTTGGTCAGGTGATTTGAGAGCTGATCAGCCACCAATAGACATCCAAAGAGCCAATCAGATGGTGACAACTTCAGAGTGCCCACATGGGGAATGGGGAAATGCACTAGTCCTAATAAAAAGGATCAGAGACAAAAACACACGGCTATCACCTCTAATAGAGTAGCTCTTATAGAGTAGCTGTTTATCTTTTCTTTTTTTCATCCCTTTCCAGATAAACTGGCTTCCCTTATTTTAAACTCTGCCTCTTTAATTCATTACTATTGCCAAGTTTATGATCCTGGTAGCTGCATGTTCTAGATGAGGAGTGGTGTGTACATCCCACCCTGCCACAACACAGGGAAAAAAGCAGAACCTCCTTACCCCTAAGGATAAGATAGGGATCTGGGAAGAGGAAGGATCTGTGCTCATAGCCAGGAAGTGTTGCCTTAGAGCAAGAGCAGTGAATGGAGAGGGCTGTTGAGGATTTGGCGAGGGAGACAGGTGATAGATATCTCACCTGTTGCACCACAGAGTGGAAGGCCACAGTAGAGAAACATCTGGCTTATTGGTTTCTTAGTGCAGCCATAAGAAAATACTACAGTGCTCGCTTCGGCAGCACATATACTAAAATTGGAACGATACAGAGAAGATTAGCATGGCCCCTGTGCAAGGATGACACACAAATTTGTGAAGCATTCCATATTAAAAAAAAAAAAAAGAAGGTACTACAAATCGTGTGGCTTAAAGAAAAGAGGGCCATGAGCCGAGGATTTAGTGCAGTGGTTCTGCTGCCTGCCTCGCAAGCACAAGGACCTGAGTTCGATCCCCGCTACCAAAAAAAAGAAAAGAGGGCCCGGAATGTACCTCAACAACAGAGGTCCTAGCTTTGATCCCTGGCACCAAGAAAAAGAAAAACAAAATGTCCAGCATATACTTTCTCACAGTCTAGAGGCAAACAGAGCAAAATCAAAGTGTTGGCAGGGCCATCCTCCTTCCAAAGGCCCATAGGAAGAACTTTCTCACCTCTTCCTAAACTCTGGGATTGCTGGCAATCCTGGTGACCCTTGGCTAGGAGAAGCATCACTTTTTTTTTTCTCATTGCTCTTATCCCTGCCTCTGTTGTCACTGTCATATTGATGCAGGGATTATATAGGGCATGAAACAGGACCTCCAAATGATATAAGAAAAATATTATAATTCTCAACCTGTTAGATGCCTGATATGCCAAGTTCATGTTCTCTGAAATCAAAGAATGAATTCTAGGAGCGACAGAAGTTAAGAGTAGGAAATGTTTATTGAGAAGAGAAATCCTGAGAGGCAGCGGAGGTCCCAAATGGGTAGCTGAGGACCCCACTTTTTAGGGGAAGTTTATAGAGCAAAAACCATGTGTGTTTAACATGGGTTAAAGCTATGACCAACCAATAAGGTTATAAGTATAGTCACTTAGGTAATAGCGATCCAATGTGGGAACAAGTCATGTAACAAGTGTGCATGAAAACAACAAAGACTTTTTCTAGGAAATGGTTCGTCCAGAGGCCTTGGTCACTAATCAGGGTGACAGATGTCTATCTAGACTTCTTTAAGTCAGGTGTTACCATTTAACTTGTTCTTTGTAGAACTATGCAAGCCTGGTCATTTTCACTTTCATCTTGAGGCTTGATCTCCAACAGATGCAGCCCAGCCATGGTTGTAACATATTTTCATCTTTTGTGCTGATTCTTTTGAGGGCCCAGGCCTATCTGACTACCTATAATATTCTACCTTAGTTGTCTGTAATAATATCCTCTGTATCTGTGTCCTTATGGCTTCCGTGATCTTCTTCTTATTTATTTATTTATTTATTTTTGGCACTGGGGATCAAACTCAGGACCTTGAGCTTGCAAGGCAGGCAATGGAACCACTGAGCTAAATCCCCAGCCCCCTGATCTTCTTATAAGGACTCTAGTCATTGGATTTAGGATATACTCTAAGCCAACATGACCTCAAGTGCTTACATTGCAACGTTCTTATTTTCAAATAAGGCCACATCATGATATTCTGGGGGCGGGCATGAATTAGGAGAGAGACACTTTTTAAGCCAGTACAGTTGAGAAAAGGGACATCTTAGGTGATCTTAATGTGGAGATCAGGGACTGGCTATCTTACACAAAATGCGTCATAGAAATGCAGGTTGGGCTGAGCTATGGGAAAGCTAAGAAAATTAAATGTATATGGCTTCTATCCATGGCTTGAAAATGTTGCTCCTGCTACGTGTTGAAAATATGTATACAGAATAAAAAAGTTTATGACAGTAGTAGGATTACTAGAACTTTCTGTAAGACATCAGAAAATTGTGTTTGCTTATCAAATGGGAAGAATGATGCTTGTTGTTAGATGGAGGTGTGTCGGGTAATGCCATCCAACAAGGTGTTGGGTTAGGGTGGGCTGTGCGCACCACTCCCCATCCGGAACACTTTTTTGTCTGGAATATAACTCTTAGCTTCAGTAAGTGAGTTAAAGAAGGAAGAGTTAAGATAAAGATAGTTTAGTTGGGGAAAAGGAGGAGGATAGACAGCTACCATGAGGTAGTAGGAGGCTTCGAGCTGAAAGCCCAGTAGCTCTTATCCCTGGCTCCTGGGGACTAGTGTCTTCCCATCCCCCAAATGGGCTCTTGCCACTACCTGATCTGTTCTCTTGATTGTCCTTGATCCTAGGCATGTCTGCCTACATTCCTTTTGGCCATTGGGTTTCTTCTGGTTCCTTTGTAATGAATAAGTGAAGGGGGAGGGCCTATTCAGAATGCAGCTTACTTAATGATTAAGTAAAGGGGACATGTGCACATGTGTGCAATAGTATGCTGATGATGTTAAAGTGAGAACATGCACATGTTTACATGTGTGTGTGCACACGTGCGTGCGCCTGCATGTCTTAGTATTAAATAAGGGTGCTTAGGTGGCTGTCTCTTATCACTCTTGCATTCTGTCAGGTGGCTGAGGGACGCTGGCTTCCCTGGTCTTTCATTTGTGGCTTTCTCTGTGTTTAACTCTTCTTTTCTTTCTTTTTAGGTACCGGTGATCGAACTCCAGTCCTTGGGCTTGTGAGGCAGATGCTGGAACCCAACTCTTCTTGATAAATTCCTTTTTTTTTTTTTTTTTTTGGTATCTGGGGTTGAACTCAGGACCCTCTTCTTGATAAATTCTTATGGTAATTGTGTTGCCTGGCTCCTCTCTCAAATTTAGCCTTTCTTTCTCTTCTTTGTCTTTTTTTTTTCCCCTGTTACCGGGAATCAAACTGAGGACCTTACACTTGCTGGGCAGGCATGGCGCCACTGAGCTACATCCCTGGCTCCTTTTTTGTCTTTTAATTACCCTACCTCGAGAGTTTACCTGTGAAGGTAGAAACTGCATTTAGTAAGTTTCCCTATTTATCTTAATGAGACCTTAACTTTTTTCTGCCTATAGGGCCTTGTCCCTGTAAAGGATTTAGGCATCCTCTCTGGGAAGCCAGAATTCCTGGTTTTCCTTTGGTCTGGTACATTTTCTAAATCCAGGAAGAGAATAGTACATTTTGCTGAATGATTTTGGCAGTTCCATCTGAAAGATCCAATGAGAAGCTAGCTGTATGACTTGGGGCAGGTCAGGTGCACTCTGGGCTTTGGTCCTGCTTTCTGGGAAATAGAATCAGGTTCCACACTGGGCATGGTGACCCAACCTGTAATCCCAGTGCTCTGGAAAGCTGAGGTAGGCAGACTGTGACTTCAAGCTCAGCATGGGCAACTTTGTGTAAAATAAATAAAATGGGTTGAGGATGTAGCTAAATGAGAAGGTCCTAGGTTCAATCCCCAGTGCCCCAAAACAAAACAAAAAAAGAATTAGGCACCATCACCTCTTAAATATCACTCCCAATTCCTTGATTCAATGAGTCTTTTTTTTTTTTTTTTTGTGCTGGGGATTGAACTCGGGTCCTTGCACTTGCAAGGCAGGCAGTGGAACCACTGAGCTAAATCCCCAGCCCTAGTTTTATTTTTTTATTTTTTGGTTCTGTGATAGAACTCAGGACCTTGTGCTTGTAAGGCAAGTGGTGGCTCCACTGAGCTAAGTCCCCAGAGAGTCTATGGTTTTATATATATACTGTGCATATGCATGTGCATGTGCGTGTGTGCATATCAGGGAACAGAACCCCAGGCCCAGTACTGGATCTGTGGGAAACATCAAGGCTCATCATGTTTTCTGCCTTCTCAGAAGAAAGGTTTTTATTGTTATCTTCATTAATAATAAATAAAATTAAATGGAATACCTATTGTGCACGATATTGCTAAAAATGCATTATTTCACTCATTCATTTCAGCAGTGTTAAATTTCTCATTTTACAAAGGAAGGAAATAAAGCTGATATCACCTGGTATCACTCTTAGTATGGAGAGCAGCCACAGTGTGAACCCAGGTCTGGCTGGAAAGCTTTGTTTTGTATTTTTTTGGGGGGGAGTAGTTTCTTTGTTTTTTTGGTTTTTTGGGTTTTTTTTTCGGTTTTTTGAGACAGGGTCTCACTATGTAGTTAAGACTGACCTGGAACTCACTATGTAGCCCAGGCTGGTCTCGAACTCACAGCGATCCTCCTGCCTCAGCCTCCCGAGTACTGGGATTACAGGCAGGTGCCACCATGCCCAGCTGTATTTTATTTATTCATTCATTTATTCTTTTTTTTTTTTTTTTGGTACCGGGAATCACGAACTCGGGTCCTTGTGCTTGCAAGGCAGGCGGCAGAACCACTGAGCTAAATCCCCAGCCCCATTTATTCATTTTTGAAGCAGGGTCTCACCACGTATTTCAGATGGGCCTTGAACTCACTTTGTAACCCAGGCTGGCCTTAACCTCCCAGTGATTTTGCTGCCTTAGCCTCTGAAATGCTGGGATCACAGGTGTGTGCCACCATGCCAGCCAGAATCTGGTCTGTCAACCTTGGGCACCACTCTCTGGAGGTTTGATGCAGCAGGGACTGGCTGACGGAGGCCCAGTGTGGAAGCTTGTGAGGTTCTCTTCAGGGAAAGGGAGCAGAGCTGGACCACAGACAGCCTAATCCCCTCAAACAGGCCCTGGCTCCCCAGCCAGGATTCTCAGTGGGCCTGACCTCCCTCCCTCACATTTACCTACTGGCTTCTCATTGTGCAGACTATGTCATTCTGCTCTGTGATTCCGTTCAGCCCTGCCATGTGCCAGACTCCCATTTCCCGCTGGGTGCCAAGAGGGCAGAGCAGGATAAAGGGAATGAGGCTTTGTCGAGCATGCATACAAGAATATAGTGCTAGTCTCCAAGGGCTGACGGACTGAGCTGGTAAAGATGCAATGAGCCACTTGTAGGTTCAGTTTATTACTTACACATATGGCAAAGAGAAGAATGCACAAAGGCCTCAGTTGCCTTTGGTCCTTGTCCCCCCCAAAAACCACAAAGCCGCAGTAAAAGGGGCCAGATGACTGCAAAATGAGTTGTAAGATCCCCCAAGACTAAATAGCCAATTCTAGATTCCACCGGAAATGGGAATGAGAGTGAAAGTGTCTCATGACAGTCTCCGTGGGAGACTGCTTGAGGTCCTCATCGGCCTCTCCTCTACTGTTCTGGGAAGATCATAGCTCCTCCTGTAAGACTCAGACAAGCTTTGGTCCAAGCCTTTGCCTATATTGATGGCACATCACCCTTCGGCATTCTCAGTTTGAGGAGGTTTCTTTTTGTGCTGGGGATCGAAACTAGGACCTTCACCCGTGCTAGGTACATGCTCTATAACTGAGCTACCCAGTCCCAAGCCCACTTTGAGGGGTGTTTTGTTATTGGTGTGGTTTTTGTTTTTTTTAAGATGTTCTTG